AGATGGCTGGTGTAAAAATAGACAGTTATTTTTTTTAACAACGGCTTGGCTGTTTACAATAAAAGCAGACATCTCAATGCACAAATTTCTTTAGTTTGGGCCCCTCTTGGTTTGGGTTTTAAAATAGGTGTGAATAAGTCTTTTTTGTCCTTGGAGCTGTTGTAACTATGAAGACAAGCACCTGTTTGCATTTTGTAAGAAGTTTTCTCACTGTGGCCACTGTAATTCTAACTGTTGGTAAGATTCACCCATTTCTCTAGAAAAGCATAACTTCTGGGTCCATAGTTCTTTTTATTTTATTTTATTTTATTTTACTTTATTTGATTTTATTTTTAATTTTTTTAACATTAAATTGGCTGAAGTTCCAGATGGAGGAGTTCCAGAATCTTTGCATCCAGATGAAATCATGATTTCCTATTTTTTGGTAACGAGACCTACCTACTGAACGCAGTCCAGTTTCTGTCTGACCCAGTCAGACATCTGAGGCCTCCCTATAGGACCCACTCCTGTTTCTGTAATGACTTTTAAATATGGTCCAGATCAAAAAAATGCTCAAATGAATTCAAAGAGCTTAAAACACAAGTTCATGGAGTATGAATCTAAGAAAGAACTCACCCATAACCCCAGTTGCTGTAAGAGTGTAAGTTTGGCACTATCATAAGGAAATAGAAAAATATCACATATATATCATGCATACAGACATACATGAACATATAGACCAAAACAGATCTTATTGAGATGAGAGAGCTCCTTGGACCACTTTGCAGGACTTGTAGCAAGGGTGTGGCTTGCTTACTTGGCCACCATGTTCAAATGCCCTGTGGGATGGGGAGCATGCAGGTGAGTGGGTGCAGGGATTCAGTGAGCACAATGAGCCCTGGAAAGGACCTTTGCTTGGTTACTTGGTGCTTCTGGGGGTTGCTGGAGGTCTATTTTGTTTTGGTGTCTCTATTCATGTTAGTAGCTTTCCTCAGGTATCCGGTAATACTTGACTGTCTACTCAAATTTAAAAAGAGTCACTTAGAAGACCTGACTGTGTGAGTGGAAATTTTCAACTAAGAACATATCTCTCAAGTAATCTTGCTGGGTTGTTTAGGTAACCTTTTAAATATTGACACTGTTGTAGAAAAAAAATGGGTTCTTGTCACACAACCAGGAAAAGTCAGGCACAGACGCTTTGAAGGGTGAGGGGAATGGAATTTTTGGGGCAAAAAGGAAAAAGGAAAAATTATTCTCAGCAAACCAAGAGAGAGTCCTGCTAGCAGGTTTCCTACCTCACAGTTTGAACACCAGGTCACCACTCCAGCTGAAAAGAGCAGGCTCCTCCCCTGTGTAAGGTGCAAATTCCCTGTGGTTCCACCTCATGCCACCAGTGAGTATGCGGGCCCTGGGCAGGTTTCCTTATCTGCACAAAAGCATCTGATGTAAACACTTGTGGGGCAGGTTGGAGATTCTCTGGGGTCCCCTTTTTATCTACCTAGGCATTTGGCTGTCTCAACACTATGGTTCCAATAACTTCAAGTCTTTTCTCTTGAGCTCACCCAGTTTCCAGAAGAGACACTTTCATTCACCTGCTTCAGAAGTCAAGGCGTGACTGCTAGTATTATTGAAAGTCAAGAGAGAATGAAGAAGCAAGGGGAGGGCATCTTTGCATTCAGTATATCATTTCCACTTACATCCCCTGTATCCAAGGTGGTGTTCCTACCTTCAACCATGATTAGTTCACACAGTGCAACGACCCTCTGTTCTACCCTTTCCAGGGCGAGCAGTGGTAGTTACCTACTATTTGAAATCTGGAAGGAAATCTTTGTATGTGATTGCTTCTTTAAAGTCTTTTAATCTCCCTGATTTTAGCAATCTCCTTTCACCCAGAGAGTATTACTCAGACTTAAATCGAGGAGAATTCTACAAATTATATTAGCATTATTCTTCGTTTCTTTCCTCTCTGGTTGCTTAAAATTTAGTTTTCTTGATTCTATTAAATCTTTTCAACTAGTTCTTTTCAATTTCCAGCTTCCAAAATCTTGTTGTTCCCCACATGTTCTGATTTTATTTCTTCTGTCATTTTAATGGAGATTTGGTAGGTTGCAAAAGTACAAGTATTTGTTAAAAACAGCATTTTTACTAAAAAACTCTTTTACCTAAAAATTCCCTTCTATTATCTCTTTAATTGGGATCAGTTCAGAATATAATAAAATATTGTATTATGGATACATTTATATATAGGTGCACTATTAATAAAGCAAAAAATACATATTTTCTATTAATTCACCTCACTGAAAGTTTAATAATAGTTCCTCAGGCAATTTGAATAGTTTCAAAGCCTTATATTGGTGAAAGGTAAATCTTTTAATATGATTATTATGGAAGATTTCAAATGCCCACTTATGTGCTCTGATTTGTTAATCTACCTATTTATGAGGTCTGGTTTGTCAAGGTCTGTGAATTCATATTACAAGATTCAAGGCTAATGATTGTTCCTTGAAATGAAGTAATAGTGTACAAATTAAGATGCTTTGCTTTGAAGTTACACAGACCTGAGTTTTAAATCCTGGCTCTTTTGACCTAGGACTTCAAACTGGGAGAAACTCAATTTTCTTATTTTTAAAATAGCAATAGCAATAGTATATGCCACATAGTGCAATTTTGAGGATTAATTAAGAAATTCATAAGTTATGCTTAATGTACTACTGGCATATGAGAAATATTCAATATAAAGTAACTATTATCACCAGGACAAAAAGCAGTAGTAAAGAACATGGGTTTTAAAGGCAGATAGATTGACAGGGTTTAAAACAGGGCCCTGCAATTTACTATGTGTGTGGCCCTGAGTTAAGTTAGCTCTGTTTGAAAGAAAGCAGCCCAATCAACAACCACTAAACCTCAGTGTTGTACAACTGTGTTTATTGCTCAGATGTCTGGGGTTTAAATAAGCAGCTCTGCTGGTCTTTCCTGGGTTCACTCTCATGTTGGCTGATTTTGATTGGCTGCAGCAAGGATGACTGGGGAAGCTCAGCTCTGTTCCCTGACTCATTCTACATCAGACAAGCCTGGTTGTTTCCATAGTGATGGCAGAATTGCAAGAAAGAATAACCAAATTGTGAAAATGCATTTCAAGTTTATGCTATGACAAACTAGTTAATATTATATTTTTTATGTCAAGTTACATGACTGAGTCAGGAGTGGGAATTTCTGCCTATCACCTAATGTAGGAAGAACCAGTACTGAAAGTTACAAAGCAGAAGACAGAATTGTAGGGATTGGTAAAGAACTGGGGCCATGGTTGCAATCTATTACATGCTGTGAAATAACTCTAAAAGCTCATCAGTTACTTTCTTTAGGTAAATATATATTAAGGAGTATTTACTTGAGACAATACTGAGTATTTTGTAGCTTGCATATACTCAGATATAACTCTGTGGCTCTGTATCCTCAGATTGGCTGACTTACGTATACCTGTGCTTCTACTTTATGTGAACTATTTCAAGTGTACTTTAATTCTTTCTTTAGTGACTACATTCTATCTGATCATTAGGTGAACCGACCAACAAATCATTCAACTGATGCATTTGAAGAGTTTATTGAATTTCTTCACTGCTCTTGTGATTTCTGTGTATTGAACTGGTGCCCTCATCCCATCTCTCCCAGTGATTCTGACTTACTTCCAATTTGTTTAGTACATTGTTACTGGAGCTCTGTGGCCCTTGCTCAAAATCTTTATGACTTCACATTTCCTTTCATCTTTACTTGGTGGGTGACTGTAACGTATCAAGGGGAATTGAATCCAGACCAAACACTTCTGTTATCAACAATCCAACTCTGCCCACCCTACCACTTCCAAGTATAGAGCAGGGAGGATCCCACAAGTATGGGAGTCAAACAGACAACGGGTATTATCTGTGTTATGTTATAGTTTATTTAATCTCAACAAGCATAATGCAAGCACCTTCTGTTTAATGGATCCTTTCTATGTTGCTGTCAAAATAAAATCAGATAATCTAATTTCTAGACATTATAATAGAAATAACTAGAGAAAAAAATCTTCAAATATGTGAATGATATGTTATGGGAATATAGAAGAGAAGAAAGTGGTAGATTCCACCTCAGGTGGGCTGGAAAGCTTTGTGAGGAACATAATATCTATGATGAGACTTGAAACAGAATGTACCTGGTGAACCACATGGTGAGTATATAATGTACCTGGTGAACCACATGGTGAGTACCTGGTGAACCACATGGTGAGTCTCAGGGAAAACAAGTCTGTTTGCAAAACTACAAGTTGTTCAGCATGACTAAACAGCTGACAGAAACAGAAGATGTGACTTTTATAGTTTTAAAACTACTGAATATACCTTTAATCTTTCCATTGTAATTATTTGTCCCCATTTCTTAGGGGAAGCTAAACTTTCTCACCTATTATGGGGAAAAATAGTTACAGAGGCTTTTGTAATAATTACAGAGTCTTTTCTAACAATTACAAAGGCTTTTTTTCTACCCGAGGCTCCCTGTGGTAGAAAATGCCAATTATTTAGAAATTAGATAGTAAAAATCAGACATCTTTTTTTCTACAAAGCTCAATGTTTCTAGGATTCCATGGCTTCAAAAAATCAACAGTTTCACAAAGGATATTTGAGTCTAGCAAAAATTTTGCTTTAGACCTTTGATATTTATCTCTACACTGGCAAAGAGTATGATTTAAAAATGCCTTACTTTTGGTTATTAGGTGGTATTCAAGTATAATGTGCTGAATTAAAGAAGATAAAATGCAATGTAAAATGTAAACAATTAATGAGATGATTCTTCCTAGATTTAGAAGTTTAATGAGCCATCTTCACACCACCTGAGGGATGGAATAAAGTCATCACATTATCAATCCTGTTTTCTAAATTATAAAATTATGAATTTAGTTTGTTGGCAGGAACCAATTTTTTCTGAAGGTAATGAGGTTGAAATTCTGAGGTGACTAATTATAATTAAGTACTTTTCCATTTGTCTTTTAGATATGATTATTATTCTAAAACAGAAGCACATTTTGAGAGAAGTTGGGCACTGGCTGTGGATTATTTAGCTGCAGTCCTCTTTCCTACAACCTTGATAAGAACATCTAAGTTCCAGAAGGGCCTACCACCGCGAATTCTTCTTAATACTGATGTAGCCCCTTTCATCAGTGACTTTACTCCTTTTCAGAATGTAGTCCTGTTTATTCTAAATGTGCTTGGCAATGTGGATAAATTTACAGGTAAGACCCTTAAAAGAATACTTTTAAAAATCAATATTATGTTGAAAAAGTAGAGGAAGAAATAATAATTAAATCAATGATATAAACATTACAGTACTCCAAAAATAAAGTTATGATTTCCTGTGGGTATCCATTTCATTCCTTTAGCAATAATCACTCTTGATATCTAGAACCATTTAATGAGCACACATTTTAATCCTCTTACATACGGCCTGTCCTTTCATCTGGAGACCATGTTGAAACTTGAAGTTGGCAAACCAACTGAAACACTCTTTTTTTTGTTCTACATACTGATATATATTCCTTATTTTGATCATCAGATCTTTTTTTTAAAACAAACAAACAAACAAAAAAACTTTCTACTTTGCTCTTAAAGAAAATGAAGACATTTCAAAAGAAAACCTGCCATTATTAATGAAATTACTAGCAATTTGGCTTACCTGAGTTCCCTTGATCCAGTCCTATTAGTCATGGAAGAAGGGTTTTATTCCAGCCCTTCAAATGCTGGACCTTCTAGTGAGTAAAAAAAAAAACCCAGAGGATTCTTTATCTACCAGTTTGAAAGTGACTGTATCATTCCCATTTGCCATACATGCACTGAAGCATTGAGCCAAACTTAAAACATAATTATATTATCAATGTTTTTCAAAGCAAAAACATCGAGTCTGAAAGATAAAAATGGAGGAAATTAAACGTGAATAAATTAAACCTATGTTGTAAAAAAATCTCTGCATCAGTTAGAGTAACAAAAACATCCAAACACTTTATAGACTTCATACAATTGAAGTTTTTCCTTTGGTTTTAGTGTGGCATTCTCTGTCAGTAGGCAGCTTTCCTTCACACAGTGAGTGAGTAGTAGAGCAAGTCTCCTTCACTCTGTGAAAGTTTTTCTTGGAGCTTTTTCCCAAAAATGAGTTGATATGATTTTTTCTGTTTAATAGATGTTTAGTGTTATTATTAGTTATTGCCAATAATATAACAATGACATTTTATATATATCTTTTGTTACATAATGTATTATTTTACCACCAAATTCATAGAAAGAACATGAAATAAAGTTGGTAAGTCAGATATTGCCAAATGGTATTGTCAATAATGCAATGAATGACATGCCATGTTTACTTTTCTTTGTATAATTTATGATTTTACCCCTAAATTAGTAGAAAGGAAATGAAATAAAATTATGAGCCATATATTGCCAAAAAGTACTTTAAAAAATTTGCAAGAGTTTACATGTAATAATTTTGTATCTTTTACAGGTTATCTTTGTACAGAAAAATCTAATGTATCTAGAGGTCATTCGGAATCTAGCTCTAGAATTTACGGAAATAACTCCTGAAACATTTAACTTGAAACTTCAGGAAATGATTAATGAATTAAAAATGAAAAACTTTAACTTGACAATCAGTAATTTCAAAAAATTCATGTAATCATGACCATGTAGTTTTATTGTTTCTGATGTTTTTGATTTATGTTTATTTGTTAAGATCTTGTACATGTATTAAAAACTTAAATGCATTCAAATTAAAAGTGATGATTTTGCTCATGATTTTAAAATTCATTAATAATTAAAATGTTTAAGATAAAAGTATATTGCATTATGCTACAAAAAAACTGAGAAATTAACAAACATACTAAACTTGTATAGCTCTTTTGTTGTTATACTATCATCAAATTTCATGACATTTAGACTAATATATATTGCTGATTTATAAACAAAATACAGATCATTTTGAAATAAAATACAGAAAGGCAGTTTAAATTTTTTAAGTTCATAAAATTGAACTGGAAAATAGAATACACTAACTCATGTGTCAGTTTTCTCTGTGTTTTTGCTGACCACAAGTTTACAGCAATTATACAATAGAGTTCCCCTCCTTTCACCCACACTTGACAATGAATTCATTATATATAAAATGTATAATTAATGAGTGAGAATACACTGGCCAGGAGGTGGTGATTTCTAGAGCTGACATAGAGCTTTCATATGAAAGTTTTCCCAGGGTCTCATTCACAGACTAAATCTACCCACTAACTGTTGGAAAATGAAATTGGACAAATTGGTTTGAACAGATGGGTACTGGATTAGGAAAGATGTAGTTTAAATCTCAGCAATGGTTGGGCATGGTGGCTCATGCCTGTAATTCCAGCACTTTGGGAGGCTGAGGCGGGAAGATCACTTGAGGTCAGGAATTTGAGACCAGCCTGGCCAACATGGTGAAACTCCATCTCTACTACAAATACAAAAATTAGATGGGCGTGGTGTGTGTGTGCCTGTAATCCCGGCTACTTGGGAGGTTGGGGGAGAAGAATCACTTGAGCCCTGGAGGTAGCGGTTGCAGTGATGCCAAGATCGCACCACTGCACTCCAACCTGGGCAACAGAGTGACTCTGTCTCAAAAACAAACAAACAAACAAACAAACAAAAAACTCAACTCTAGTTTGCCAGTTGAGTTGAGCTTGGGCCATTTTTCTAGCACTATCTGTGCTTCAGTTTACTTATTGTTAGAATTAAGATTATAAAACCTACATTGCTAGATTATTTTGGGGAGTCAATAAAAGCATAAATATAAGGGTAGCTAGTGTAGAAAAAATTGGGTTCCCGTCACATGACCAGGAAAGACTAGAATTGCAGACACTTTGAAGGGGGAGGGGAAATGGAATTTACTGGTGAAAAGGAAAAAACTCAGCAAAACAGAGGGGTTCCTGTTAACAGGTCCCCATGTCACAGATTGAATCCCAGATTACCACACAGGAACAGGAGAGGTCAGGCTCCTACCCCCTGCAAACAGCACGAACTTCCCAAGGCTCCACCCCGTCGCCCTAGTGCGCAGGCTGATTGGAGATTCTCCAGGACCAGCAGTCTGGTTTTTCAGCCTTTGAGCTATTTTAGGCTTGAGAGTGGGGCTTCACTGGGGAAACCCTTAGTTGCCTCCTGTCTCTATCATTCCCCTGCTAAAGAAGTACATCTAACTGCCCTTAGAATAAGGACAAGGATAAGGATAAGGTTAAGGATAAAGACAGATCTTCACTGCTTCCTGCTGACAGGGGGTGCTATTTTGGGGAAATGGCAGTCACAGCTCCCTCAGAGGCCTAAGGGTTCCTGGCAAAAGGAGCCATAGACAAAGGCTTTGGTTGCATGATTGTTTGGGGTTTGATGGTCTGAAGGTGAGAAGAGACAAACTGGGTTATTAGAAAACATACATAGAAATGGAATAAGGGAGGGGTAAGCACACCTCAAAAATCCTGAGGCCTTTTACCAGTTTGTGCAAGGAGAGGGGGTGTCAAAAAGCCTGACCGGTAATAAAAACTTTTACCCTCTTGTCAGCATGTTAGGCTTCTGTGTTCCCTTCCCCTGAGCCCAATTCTAAGCCAATCAGTTTAAGGTTTGAGAAGTTAACTCTTCCCATTTTGGAGGATGCATCTGAGGGGAGGGTCCTGTAGTTTGGAGACACAATTACCTATCAGTGAAAGGTATAGATGAAAATAAAGGAAAAAAGAAGGAATTTTTTCAGAGGAGTCCCAGGGGTTCAGAATGCATTCAAAAGGGGTACAGACTAAAGATGAATGGCTACTCTCTAGAAAGAGGGGAGCAGGTGTCCCTGGTTCCTTTCTCTTCCTATCAAATACCCAGTGCATATAAGAGAGGGAAAATGAGGCGTTCCTCTTTCTCCCCTCTGTCCTTGTATACCCGAGTCTTGGTGACCACAGCAGGGTGCCACCCAGAGGTGTTAAAGTGACTTTCAACCATGTTAACAGGGTGGCCTAGGGGATGGGAGTATCTGCTCTTACCCCTGTATGCCTTATCACCCCTACTGTCAGCAGCCTTGAATTCCCTAGACCTCATTTATGCCATGGATATTAGTGTGATCTTTATCCATGGAATGAGAAGCTAGGCTTAATTGGCAGGAATCAGTCATGCTCACCTGTGTTGTGCCTTTTAACTTCTGTTATCATCTGCTTCCAGATCCCTTAGATCCAGTTTTCTATTCTAGGGCTTTGATCCAAAGCTTGGAATTGAGTTTGGGACAGAAATGTGTCTCATGGGAGTTGCAAGGACTCCTTATCATAAGCCGAATGCTGAAGTGAAGCTGTGGAATTGAGTCTTCCTCCAACAAGGGAGAGAAAAGGACATCTTGTGACATGCCCAGATAACTGGTGGCTATAGTTATGCTTGCTAAGATTTCAGTGCATTGTGCTTGACTTTGGTTAGCTCCCTTTGTCTTACATTCCCAAAAAGGAAACCTCTGGGTTATGGGCACCCTATTCATTCCCATCACCTGGCAGGATTTGCAGGAGAATTGCTCATAACTAGAATATTGATCCAGATTTTTACATTACCCATTCCCTTTTGTTTCTTCTAAGCTGCAGCTGGAGATCACTGGTTGGTTCACAAGAACAAGCAGGGTTAGTCTAAAATGTAGGCAGAAACTTAAAAAAAGAATGAGCTAATGAGTTTAGAATTTAATGACAAATATGTGATAAATTTCAAAACATAATTTCTCTCTCTCCAGTCATCATTTTTGTTAAAAAAAATCATTAAAGGACTGAGTTGTTTGCAAAACAGTCTTTAGTTTTGTACTTGGCCTGACTATTTGCATAAAGTGCAGCAAGAATAATTATCTCCAAGTAGGCATTTTAGGTTGGCTTTGATGGAATTCTGTTCTACAAGGAATGTCAGATAAGACCTTTTAAAGTCAAGCACAGCCATGGATTAGTATCTTCAAATGCCTGTGATTTGGATGATCCTCTTCCCTTAAGGTCCCAAGATAAACTTGGAGCTCCTGGGTCTGTTAGAAAGTGACATTCTTTACTGACCACAGGTCAGGAACCCTGTACAGGGACTGTGTAGATAAGAGTATGAGGGCAGTTTTTCCCAAGGGGCTTTTATCAGTTCTGCAAGTCGAGCTTGATTCCTGATAGGGAAGCATACCCTTCCAGTCAAAACTTTGGTAAACCACAACCAGTTTCTCCAATTGCATCCTGTTGCAAAAGAAAATGAATTCTTATTGCACTGGTGCAAACAACTATATTGCTATGGGTTAAGAATATTCACAACTAGTTTCCAGATTGTAGAGGAAAAAGGCAGAGAGAAACAAACATGTTCCAAGTTTTGTTCACAGGAGTATACCGGACTCTGAAAAACAAAACAAGGATCGCAGTATTCCAAGCAAATGTTAAAGAGATTGCTTCAGTTTTCTGAGTTCAGTCCATTCAGTTAGCTTGTTTTGCTTGATGTTCATGAACATTTAAGCTCTTCATGACTCCTGTACCTCTTTCCTTCATTCCAATGTCACAATTTCCAAAGTTATCAGAAACCTGTATTTGAGAGCACCTGTCAAATTTCTATAGCTTGTTATAAACCATCTTTTAAAAAGGATTAAAATAAGGCAACAATTGTCTGTGAATAACAAAATGTCCAAGGTAGTTACAGTCAGAAACACATTTGACAGTGAAGTTTGGTTATCTCTGTGATTTACAATAATTTAACATAACCACCTTAATTATGATTTATAGTATATATTTTAGACATTAGAATTTTTGAAATCCCATACAATTTTGGAACACATATTAGTATTTTCACAAAAAAGGAGATTGAACACCATTTTGGCAATTCCATTTACCTAAATATGTACCTTTCTTTTGGATACTCCAGGGGTGCTCTGAAGCCTCCAAAAGCCAGGTATCAGGAAACACAATTTTGAAACTGAAGTTTGATTTTGGGAAGCCTGTTAAATATGTAGAGATTTAAAGCACAATGTTATGATTCTCTGGGATCGGCAGTCTGGTTTTTCAGCCTTCAGACTGTTTTAGGCTCAGCGTGGGCTTTCACTGGGGGACCCTTAGCTGCCTCCTGTCTCTATCACTATTGATTTTCCCCACATATAGTAGCATCCACAAAAATCAGAAATTGTCACAATAATTGTGTTTAGATATGGATACCTGTTCTATTGGTGGAGCAGGTAAAGTATCTTTGATGAGCCAGGGCCATGAATACATTTTGTTGAATTCACAAACACACAGATGATTTTCTATTAGCTATAAATAATAGAGGCAGCGTAATAAACACTCTCCAAATGTTCCCAACCCATGTGAAATGTCTATACACAACTAAACCTTCATTATTACTTAAAGACAGACAATGATGAAACAGCAATAACTTGGATTAAAAGGAGGAAAATCAACAAATACCAGTGCCCCAGTCCCATTGGCTTTCACTTCATCTTAGCAGGCAAGGAGGGACTGAGAAAAACTGCAGATGAGGACTCAGGAGAGAGAGACACTAGCAAAGGGGTTTGAGTGTGGGATGGAGTGAAAAATTAAATCCACCAGAAAGATTATTTCTAAACTACCAGAAATCCATTCTAAACATACTAACATATAACAGGCAGATCAGAGCACATCAGAGCACAATTGTATAAGACAGATTTCAAAGTAGAGCATCTTAAAGAACCAGACCTGTGACTTAAAGGGAGGAATTTTATTTAAAAGGACAAGTTTTATTTAAAGGGAAAGGCAATTTCAAGTGT